CTTGTTTCAATGCGTCCCCAGCCTCCCCGTGTGGGCCGCGCGCATGCTGCAGGCCGTAATTTGCGCCCTCCCCTCTTGGACGCCCCCCTCTGTGAAACCCCCCGACGTCTGGCAGGCCGGAGCGGGCGTGCGTGCCCCTGGAGCTCCTCCCCTGCGTTCCTGCTTGCCGTCTCGCCCTTCCCCGCCTCGCTCGTCTCCCCCCCCCCCCCCCTCAGCAGCGAGGACGCTCGCGTGCGTGAGCCCACGTTGACTGTACTTCAAGCGTGCGCGTCGCTCGAACGTTCGTACCACGAGGCTGGCCTCGCGGGCGGGGGGTCCGTATCCAAACGCGTCTTCTCCAGGGTTTCCCTGCCCTCCTCGCCCTTGCTTCCTCTCCCCCCTCGCCTCGCCTCCCTGCCCCCCTGCCTCCTCCAGGGGCCTCGGGAGACCTCCAGAGGCCCAGACGGGCCGAGCTCGCGCAAGGGCCCCGGCCCTCGATCCTGCCGCCGCCCTGCCTCCTCCCCCCGACGCCCCCGGATCCCCCGGATCCCCCGACCCGATCCCCCGGTATCCCCCGACCTCCCGACCCCCCAAGAGCCCGATTCCCTGATCCCTCGATGCCTCGATCCTCCTTCCTCCCTCTCCTCCCCGATCCCCTGGCCCCATCGACCCCTCGATCCCCCGATGCTCCCTTCACCTCCCCCCGGCCACCCGATCCCTCGAGCCGCGATCCTCCAACACTCCCGGCTTGCCGGGGGCGCTGCATCTCGGGTGCCGAAGGCGCAGCGCCTCGGCCCGGCAGGCCTCCAGCCGCCCCACGGCGCGCGGCGGGACCACCGCGCTTCGGGTCGGGCGAAAGGGGGGGATTGGGAAAGGGGGGGGTACGAATTTTGCTGCATGCAGCTGGTTTCGGCCTCACCGAGGAACCCATTCCTCGATACATAGTCGCCTCCGGCGCCGGGAGGCGCCCGGAAAATCAGCTACGTGAGCTGATTCTCACCCCCCCCCTTTGCTATCCCCCCCTTTCGCCCGACCCGAGCGCTTCGCCTTCGCAGAGCGACGCCGACGGCGCCGCGGGCCCGCCTCTCCTCTCCCTCCCTCTCTTAGCGTGACGTAGCCACACCGGCCTCTGGCCCATCTCCGCCGCTCTGCCTGGGCTCTCGCGGGGTCGGGGGGAGGGGGGCCTCCCCGCGCGGGGCCATCCGGGGGGGGGGGTCTCCCGTGCCTCGCTGCGGCCTCCGGCCCATGCTGCGCCGCCGCGCCTGGGCTCGGGGCCCCCCGGGGGGGCCTCCCGGGGGGTGGTCTCTCAGAGGGTGTCTCTCGGCCCAGACCCCCTCGGGTCGTGAAAAAATCACGACGGGAGGTTTTTCGCCATTTTCGGCCCCCGGGGGCCTTTACCGGGCCTCGGGACCGTCAAAAAACGACTCGGGATGAAAAACCGGTCCCGGGGAAGGGGTCCGGACCTCTGGGGGCCGCGTCATGAAAAAATCATGACGTCGGTGGTCTGGGGGGAGGGCTCGGCCTCGCGGGGGCCTCCCCATGGGGCCTCCCTGGGGGCCTCCCCGGGGCGAGGGCGCCGCCGAGAGCGCCGCGGATCCTGCCGAGCATGGAATCGGGAGCTCGCACGCCGGTTTGGCGCGCGCGCGCCGGGCGGCTCAGCTGCGTGTCAGCCGCAGGTGTGGAGATTGGCGGCGCGCACCATGGGGGGTCACGGGAGCGGGGCGGCCCTACAGGAAGGGCGGGAGGGCTTCTCCGCAGGCGGGGGGGCTCTTTGGAAGCCCTCCTGGCTTCCAAGGCCGCCCTCTCGGAGTCGCCCTCGGGCCCCTCCAAGAAGGCCCCCCCCCGACTTCGGCTTGTGAGATATCCCCCCCCCCGTTCTCCGCAGGCCGCCCCCTCTCGCGCCACCCCCGAGTGCGCGCCGCGGAGCGGCAGTGGCAGACCACGCGGCGGCCGCTCGGCAGCTGCACTTGTTCAGGGGCAGAGGCGCGCCGACCATGGCCAAGACGTCGCGGGCTCCTGCGCCGATCGTGGTCGCGGTCCACGACGGCGAGGATGGTCCACGACCCGACTCCGACGAAGGTGGACGGTGACCAGGATCGCCGCGACGTTTCCGCGCTCAGTCTTGGCCATGGTCCCTTGCGGAGCGAGCAGAGTGGTAAAACCAGCTCCGAGGTTCTCCCTGTTCGCATCTCGAGTTGGATCAGCTGGTACCCGAGAAACCAGCGGGGCTCGTGTACAAGCTCGAGCGCGCCAGCCCTTGACCGAGGCGCTTCTATAACGCGTCGGGCCCGTGGGCATGGCAGAATCGCTCCAACGAGCGCCGCATTGGGAAAACAACAAAAGTCCTGGCCAGGGTGCCCGCTCTCTCCCGCCAGCCGTTCCCGGGCTGGGCACGCCGGGGCCACCCCGCGGCGGGCGGCGCGGGGCGCGTGGGGCGAGGGCGAGGGCGAGTCACGCCGCCGCCCGCCACCGCGCGCTCCCCACCGCATGGGCCACGCGAGTCTTCTCGCACGGCGGGCGC